AAAATTCAATATTTCTTTTAACCTTCATCAGTTGAAGTGGTTGCTTTGTAAAAACATTATATTCATATATATCATTATTCAATTTTGAATATCATTTTTGTGAATGTAGTTTACTGCCAGAAATACTCATATTTTCATAATTTTGCTGTCAAGATTTATATCCTAAATGAAAACTGAGAGGAGGTAAATTTAGAATGCTTCAGAGGATGCATCTGTGACAGTGAGTTATGTAAGTGTGTGCATTTTTTTAACAAGTTAGACATTGTTTGACAGCAGGTTTGTCATCGTAGTCTTACTCCAATGCTCTGGACTGGCACCGCAGACGTTTGTCTCTCAAATGCCTCAGTGAGCATGCCAATTCAGCAGCTCAAACAGATGCTAAATGCAAACAGAAGCTGCAAATGATATTTGACTAACTTTGGCAAGCAAGGGTGCACATTTTAAAAAGCATTTGCTTTAAAAACAAAGAACACAGCGTTTGCTCATAATTCTGCTCAACACAAAAGAGACAGACTGCAAGTTTATCTGTAAAAGATTTTATTCCATAACATCAAACTATACATTTCTAAAATTAATTATTATGATTGACCATTATGACATAAATGTAAAAAGGTGTATTTCTCTTCACATGTTGACTCCAGCTGCTGCTGCCAATTGTAACATTATATAATGCAATAGCTAACATCAACCAGTCGGAAGTCATGCAAGTTGATAGCTGCTTCTGTTCACTCAGTCAAAATGTGGGTTTGAAACAAAACACTGAGCGCAAAAAACATCTGAGTCTTGTTAAGATGATCTAAATGAAGAAGCTCAAATAAGTCAAACAGTGGAGCCCTTTTTCTGATTCATTGAATTATTGCCACTGCAAATTTTGGCTCAATGTTTACAAAACTGCTTGAGTTACAGCCATTTTTTTTGAGTTTGATAAGGTGACTTACCATACTTTTCACCATGTAAGTCACACATTTTTACATAAATTTGCATGCCCTGTGACCTATACAGTGAAGTGAATTATTTATGTCCCCCCCATATTTATAACCCAATTTTTGGCTGAGATCTGACAATTTTATTCATTTTGACATGGAAAATATTGAACACTACCATTTTCAGCCGCTAGAGGGCCCTCAACTAATATGGCAAGCCAAGTGTCTCATTAATAGGTAAAAGTGGCTATTAATGAGACACTTGGCTTGCCAAAGTAACCATCTTCGTCTCGCTCTGGAACTCCTGGAGCAAATGTCAAATCAGCTGCATTTCGCCGCGCTGCCCAGGTGACATGCAGCTGATTTGACCATTAAAGTGCATTTATTAAGGAAAAGTTCAACTGAGACACACCTTTACTATAATATCGAGCCAACAAATAATTGTTTTTAGGTGCTAATCTTCTTAAATTCTTGTTAAGGTCCTCCCGTGCACTTGCCCACGGCCACCATTTTGTAACCAATCGATTTTTGGCACAACACCGGCCCATGTTTTTGGGTAGTCAGCGGTGACGCATAATAGATGCAACTTATATGGCGAAGCAACGTATTTTTGTTATATCCTACTTTATTAGACATATTTGGACTGATGTGACTTGTACGGCGGTGCGACGTGTACGACGGCAAATAAAGTAGCTATAGCGACGATGTTAAATTAAGTTGACTAGATATTTTGCTAACAGACAGACAAGCACACACACATGCATACAAAAACGTTTACATTAACCTCGGCTGAAAAGCTCAAGAGACTATGCCAGATATATTTCATCACAATCCAAGAATTCTAAATAAAGTTTCTATAGTTCATTCATTCACCTATGCAGTTCTTTATTTACAATTTAGATAGCAAAGAACAGTTTTTATTTAAGACTATTTGTTTTCCTATGTATGGTTTGACAAAGATTTTGTGCCTGGCTGAGGTGAAAACATTGCATTAAAAAAAAAAGACTAAAAGCTGATGAAAACAGGCGAAAGAAATAAAACAGTCTTAACTTTTGCTTTTTGTGCCACCCTGTATGAGTGACTGATAAAATCCCAAGATGATAAAGAAAATGATTCCTGCTTTGAAAACAGAAACAGAGGTGGGAGGTAAAAACAGTTGTGCAGCACCAACATTACTCAGGAGGCATTTGTCTTTTCATTTACAGTTCATTTCTGTAAAGGCAGTAGAAAAGCACTGATTTAGCTTAATTCCAAAATAAATTAAGCATATTTTTGAGCAACATTACCTTCTCTTTTATATAATGCAACATCTTAGCATTAAATACATTTTACATAAAAAGACAGGCAGTTTGTTTAGTCAGGGTTAGTAGAGATATTAGAGACAAAGCTTGAAAAATGAAAAGTCGTGCTTCAGATGCATTTGCTGCGAAGTGCCTTTTTTTCTGAGCAGCTGTTCTACATTTTCATGCTGGAGGCATGTAGGACTCCAGCGCTGGCAGTGGTCCCCACAATGGAGCAGATGTCACACCTGGTTTGTGTGATCCGTTGTCTGGATGACCTCTTGGTGTCTAAGTGGCACGCATGTCTCAGGGCAGATGGCCCCTGTGGATACAAAAAAACATGCATGCTTTAAAATGTATGCATTAAGAAGACAGAAGAACATAATCTTCTAAATGTACACTTTATGACAAACCTGATATAAAGTGGATGGGGTTTCTGCAAACATATGTTTAAAAAAATAAAACTCCCACAACTTCTTCACGTCTTGCTCAAACCCCTCCAGACAATGATGGTATTCCTGGTTGTCGTCTTACTGTTACTGAGAAAGCCTTGGAAATCCTTTCTCCTGGGCTTTCATCCCCCAACACACACACACACACACACACACACACACATATATGCACTGATACAACACTAATCTCCCTGTCACAGCCTCTAATGGAAAGTATTCAGCTGAGTACTTTTGGCGAAAAAAAAAAAAAACAGACATAAAATGAGAGAGAGCACAGAAAAGGAAGGTACAGTATACTGAATAAGAAGTAGAAGTAGTAGTAAGAAGTAAATTTTAAACTGACCACCTCTACTGCATCATCAACAGGAATGCATGTAAAGAGTGATGTGACATCAAAAGAGACCATTGTTTCATCAGTCTC